CAACATTAATCCTTGGCCAATGAAACTACAGGGTCACGCAATGCTAGCTTCTTCATTTTAAAAAAAGTTTTGACATTAACACCAGATGCCCTACTGACACAGGGTAAAGGGGAGAAGGAATTAGGGCTGCAGATTGGCCCTGCATCACTCCCACATTCTTCTTCCCTGCTAGCAGGCAGGAACAAGACCCAAGACCCAGCCTTGACTTCAAGTGTTTTTGGAGCAAAATAAACCATGATCCCTGGTTTGAATCCAACTTCAAGCCAAGGGTTGTGGTTTGCTTGCTCCTGTTCACTTCTCATAAGGAGCTAATAAATTATTATTATTATTATACCTCACCCATTTGGCTGGGTTTTCCCAGCCACTCTGGGCAGCTTACCACATATATAAAAACATAGTAAAACATGAAGCATTAGAAACTCCCTGATACAGGGCCACCTTCAGATGTCTTCTAAAAGTTGTGTAGTTCTTTTATCTCCTTGACAACTGACAGGAGGGTGTTCCACAGGGTGGGTGCAGCTACTGGTTCCCTGTAACTTTGCTTCTTGCAGTGAAAGAACCAGGAGAAGACCCCTGGAGGAGGACCTCTGTGTCCGGGCTGAGCGTTTGGGGTGGAGACGTTCCTTCAGATATACTGGGCCAAGGCTGTTTAGGGCTTTAAAGGTCAGCACCAACACTTTGAATTGTGCTCAGAAACATACTGGGAGCCAGTGAATATCTTTTAGAACTGGTGTTATATGGTCCCGGCGACCAGACCCAGTCATCAGTCTAGCTGCCGCATTCTGGATTAGTTAGTTTTCAAAGGTAGCCCCACGGAGAGCGCATTGCAGTAATCCAAGCGGGAGATAACCAGAGCGTGCACCACTCTGGTGAACCAGTCTGTGGGCAGGTAGGGTCTCAGCCTGCGTACCAGATGGAGCTGGTAGACAGCTGTCCTGGACACAGAATTGATCTGTGCCTCCCTGGACAGCTGTGAGTCCAAAATGACTCCCAGGCTGCGCACATGGTCCTTCAGGGGGAGTGATGAGGGAATGATCTGAATGATCATGATAAACCATTAACCACAGCCTACCGTGGTGTGAGAACACACCCAGTAAGTGAGCAAGGAGCAGTTAGGGGAGGGAATGGCCCAATCCCACAGTCTACTCTATTTGCACAGGCTCTTAACTATCATGACCTCTCCATGGAATTTTAGGAATTACAGGGGAGCCAACAAAACTTCAAGATTAGCAAGCTTCATGCCCAGGATTCTTTGAGGGAAGTAATGACAATTTGGCGAGGGAAGCTGTTGTTGGTTTTTATTTTTGGTAGATGTAGCCTCAAACAATTAGTAAAAGCACCATAGCGAGGGGGGGGAGGAACCCTCCAGACATCAGTATTGCCTTGTCGACAATTCCCTCATTTTATTAGAAAACAATCATAGCTTAAAATGGTGCTCCACAGTTAACTTACATAAAGATCTGCTTTTTAGTTTAATGGAACAGTGGTCAATATATTTCAAACCCTGTCATGATTTAATGATTACAAGGCTTCTTTTGCAGTAATAGAGCCGTCTGAAATACACAGCCAGGTATGCTATTAAGGGAAAGCAATATAAATAAATCTTCAATGCATTCCTAAATGAGGAATTATTCATTTACAGTAAACCATGCAAGAAATCTATATCACAATGTCAAGTAGCTACTTTAAGATATAAATCTGAAGGCAGAACATTCATACAGACCCAAAATATCAATTAGGAAATATTAAACTTCAGCTCTGTTACTGATGCAAGCAATTTGGAAAGCCAAGACTTTTTCTTTTTCATTTTTGAAGATACACAGCAATAATGATGCTGCTCTTTGCAGTCTTCCCACATAACCACAGCCCTGTGAATAGTGTTTACAATCTAAAATATAGATTTCAATGCATAATTAATTGCAGTTGTTGAACTTGCATTCCCTTTGATATGAATAGAGATATCCTGTTCATGTTGCTCACTTGATACTTATTACTGGGATGCATCAGATGCTACAGAAGCTGGGACTCTTCTTCAAAGAATGATGGAGAGCTATAGTACACATAACACTAAAACAATGAACAACAGTCATCTTGTGTACTCATCTCTTCAGGTGTCAGCAATATTCCTAAGAAATAACTGGCACAAAGGAGACCTGAAATAAGCTTCTGGGTTGGCTCAATTACAACATGTCTAAAGACCTAACAACTCTTAGGGTGTATCTGTACCATAGACCAAGCTACCCCACCTGATGCCCTGCAAATGTTTTGAAGTTCCAACTCCCATATTCTCTTACCATTTGGTAATGCTGCCTCAGGGCTGAAGGAAGTGGAGCCCAAAACATCTAGAAGAACCAAGTTGGAGAAGGCTGCCAAAGACTTAAAACTGGTTTAATGTGAACTCTGGGAACTGCAGTTCTGGGCTAAGCATCCCCAACAGAGAATATTCTATGGGCCCTCACCAAACTATAAATGCTAGGTTACTTTGCAGAAAACCCAAATAGTTAAAACCAGCATAAAAAGGATATAACTTTTCAGCATAGATGTTTCAGTTACTGGGCTGCCTCGCTGCTTAGTACTGACTCCAGTTCGTTAATGAATAAGTAAATAGTCTCCGGTCTCAATATTTAATGTATGTGCCATATTGCTATTATAAAAATGTGCTACAGATCCTTGGGACACCCCAGTTCTTTGCTTTCCTGTACTGTGAAAACCATCCATCTATTCCAGCATCCTCAAAAGAGACTAAAAATGCAAGACATGAAGAATGACATGAATCACTGAAGGAAATTGAGGGAGCCCCTTAGTTAGCAGGAGAATTGCTCCCAAATAATTCTTCAGCAAATAGGGAGGTTGTTTCCACATTATGAGAGATCTATTCCCTGAACCAAGAAGAGCCAAGGGACAGGCCTTCAACTCATATACTCAATCACGAGGCAAGAACAACCAAATCAGGAAATTCTACTGCCATGCAGAAGAATCAGTGTGGTGCATTGGTTAGAGAGTTGGACGAGAACCTGGGAGACCAGGGTTCAAATAGCTATTCAGGCATGAAGCTCACTGGGTGCCCTTGGGCCAGCCACTCACTCTCAACCTAGTCTACCTCACAAGGTTGTTATGAGGATAAAATGGGGAGAAGGAGAATTATGTATGCCACCTAGAGCTCTCGGGAGGAAACGTAGGCTACAGATGGGATGAATGAGTTTCATTTAATGATGGCTAAAGAGAATTTCTAAGGCTGGTTTAGGTTCAAACCACTCTCTGATCTAACAACTCTCAGGTCTGCTGGATCCTAACCCTCTGGTCCTTGCTGACCTTGCTATAGGACTGCTCTCATATTAATTCCAACTGCATAATTCATCTGCAGTGTTCACTCGTCAACAGAAGTGAGCTTGCAAACAGCCTGGGCACTGGAGCTGCAACAAAACTCATTTCTGAAGCAGAGTCACTGTCCGCAAAAAGGGTCCAAAATGCTGGTATGTTTTTTTTAAAAAAAAACTAATATTCACACAAAAAACTATTTTGCAAAGGAATCAGCTCGATTCAACAAAATAGCCCTGTAAAAAAAAAAGTGACCTATCAGGTTGTATAAGATAAAATAGCCTCATTTTGTTGTATCAAGATGTACATGTTATAATTTCACCTTAATTTTATTTTTATTGTAAACTGCCCTGTGATCCTTGGATAAAGGGTGGTATAGAAATTTAAATAATAATAACAATATTTTTAATGAGGTAGTAGCAAAAGATTGCATGTGGCCTTACAAGTTTACTGTATTTTCTGGGGTAAAAGACTACTTTTTATCCCAGGAAAATCTTCTCAAAAGTCGGGGGTCGTATTATAGGCCAGCTACAGCAGCAGCTCCTGCAGCAACTCCCCACCAAAGGATAAAACAACAGCAAATTAAATCAGAGGACACCAAGCTCTCTAGATGAAGCAGAAATAAGCTTCAAAATTGGCCCCAGAAGCCCCCGGCCACTTGGAAGTAGAGCGGATTTCCGAGCCGGACTGGACACTTTTTTAAAATTTTTATTTGGTGTGCATTGGAAGAGGGGTAGACTTATACGGCGAGTATATCCCAAACTCTGTATTTTAACTGGAAAAGTTGGGGGGTGGTCTTATACGCCCAGTCGTCTTATACGGCGGAAAATACGGTACTCTACCAAAGTGATTCCATCCAGCCCTTTGCCTAATGTCTAAGAGTGGAGAATTTTTTTTGGGGGGGGGTGGCATAAAAAGCCAAAAAGGAACAGGGTGGGGTTGAAAGAGCTCTTTGCAAGCAATCAGTTCAGACCTGCCCCTTCCCAATAGGGAACAGGAGAGAGAAAGAGGAGTGGGCCTCAACATAAGGAGGTTCCCCACTCTTGGGTTTAGATTACAGAACTCCCATAATAACGTATTGAGTTGGATCTTAACGTTGCAAGTTTTTACACACCCAAAATTAGGTTCGCCTTTTCCTCGTGCCTACAGAACTTGAGGATTTCTCCCACAGCTCTGAGGGGCCTGGAAATGAACCTGTGGGTTTCGGACGAGGACAGACCTACCTGTCTAATGGCCAGCTTTTGTATTTGCAAAGATCCAGGCGCAGCCATTGTAGTTTTGTGTGTCCCAAGAGGTGTCAGTGCAACCTGACACTTGTGCTGCACCTAACCCTGCTTCCTTTCTCACACCATCTTATTAAGTAAGATGCAGACACAGAGGATTTCACTATCAGCAAAGCATGTTTTCTCTTTCTTGCTCTGTTTTCTCTCTCTCTCACACACACACCCCACAACAGTTCTGCAAAAGTTGAACGTTTGCACAAGTTTTTGGCCAAATAAAGAATACGCCCTGTGGTGGATTTTTCTTCTTCTTGTGGGTCCACTTGGATGCTGCTGCTGCTTTAAATAAACAAACAAACAAACAAACAAACAAACAAACAAACAAACAAAGCAAGCAAACTGCCCGTAACATCCAAAGTGATCAGAAGCAAAACAGGTGGTGTTTAATGACACTGAACTTACCTTGGGGAACTGTTTTACTGGAATTAATACTTTCTGTCCCAATTTCATATTTTTGTTAATCACTACATCAATGTACTTTTCTTCTTCCTTGCCTTCTTCCCCTTTTTGGAATTTTTCAATTTCTGCAACAGAAAGAACACAATTTGTTTTTAGCGTTAATTTCCCCTAATTGCTTTGAACTTATCTTCTGATTTATCGTATTTTTTGCTCTATAAGACTCACTTTTTCCCTCCTAAAAAGTAAGGGGAAATGTGTGTGCGTCCTATGGAGCGAATGCAGGCTGCACAGCTATCCCAGAAGCCAGAACAGCAAGAGGGATTGCTGCTTTCACTGCGTAGCGATCCCTCTTGCTGTTCTGGCTTCTGAGATTCAGAATATTTTTTTTCTTGTTTTCCTTCTCCAAAAACTAGGTGTGTCTTGTGGTCTGGTGCGTCTTACAGAGCGAAAACATAAAAGTTTTTCTTCAGGGCAATTTTGAAAAATCTCACAGTACGCAACACAGGAAGCTGGTCTGTTTGTCTATCAAGTCAAGCACTCTGTTCTGTGGATGACAGAAGCACCTTCAGAAATCATTTAATTCTTGGTCGCTTTAACAGGGTGTGCCGTGGATGTAATCTGCATGGGTGCACCCTAGCACTTCGCTATGCTCCTTCCGCATACGTACATTGCCTTGATTTAAGCAACGGAAAGCAAAGTACAGCTGTTGAATCCCAGATTCCACTGCAATTTATGGCTGTCTGTCCTCATGGTTCCAGGTACACTTGGAAATCACATGGGCCAAAGATTTGAGGTTCTATAAAAAAAGGAGGCGGAAATATGCCTTTATCTGGTTGGTTTCTTCACTGCTGCTCAAACTCGCACAATTTATTAGTCAGGGAGGCGATTGAATCCTCTGTCTTTCCTTTTTAAGAAGTCATCTAATCTAGCAGCTACCAAGTGGAACCTACAATGAAGCGTTGCAATGCATTGTTCCTGTTAGGGTTTCAAGAATACTACATGCTGTAAAGGGCTCAAAATCAGGGCCTTCCAATCTCCAGCTCCCCAGCCCCAATATCTGTTCTTTTCCAAATGACCCTCAACATCCCATGGCTCCTAAAAAATGTCAGGATCTCACTGGGCTCTTGGAAGGGGTTGTCCGCTTAGGTCAGGGGTAGGCAACCTAAGGCCCGGGAGCCGGATACGGCCCAATCGCCTTCTCAATCTGGCCCACGGACGGTACGGGAATCAGCGTGTTTTTACATGAGTAGAATGTGCCCTTTTATTTAAACTGCATCTCTGGGTTATTTGTGGGGCCTGCCTGGTGTTTCTACAAGAGTAGAATGTGTGCTTTTATTTAAAATGCATCTCTGGGTTATTTGTGGGGCATAGGAATTCGTTCATTTTTCCCAAAAATATAGTCCGGCCCCCCACAAGGTCGGAGGGACGGTGGACCGGCCCACAGCTGAAAAAGGTTGCTGACCCCTGGGCTTAGGTTATGTGTTGTTGTTACTTCCTACAAAGCGCTGGGCCAGATCTGGAAGTAGCCTTCTGTCACGGGAAGGGAACCTTTGGATTAAGCCCAACAAAGAAATTCTGGGACAGTTCCTTTCTTTTAGGTTTAACGCACGCTGTGTAAAACTACTTCCTTCCATACGCTCTTCATCCTCCTAAGAGGAAAGCATTCTATTCCTGGGCCTTAATCAGCTGCTGCCTAAAGACATTTAGGACTTCATACACACTAAAAGAGGCAAGGAAAGTTGTCAGCACGTTCAGAACTTTGCAGTTCCAAATTAGAAGCAGGCGGATTTGAGAAAGGAAGGAATTAATCCTACACAACTCTTCAATTATTCTCAAATAGTTTTTTTTCGCCATTTAACAAGGGCTAAACCTGAACACAGTATTCCTAAGTACCTCATTAATGACGCCGATACAATGAATATTCATTATCACGGAGAAGTATATTTAGCCATCATTTGTTCCGCTTTCTCCCAAACTCTTCATTAAACTCAAAAAGACCTCTGTTGAGGCTTTGGTATCTTATCAAGAACGTAAAATATCCCATGTGAAGAGGGCAGCCTTAAAATAAACCCATTCTGTACCTATGGAGGCACATTCATGATGGCAGCACTTAGCATTTATAAGGCACATAGTCGTGATCAAAGTGTGACACATGCAGTAATCCCTGCAACTGCTCTGTTAAGACAGATGGGTGTTATTATCCCCATATTGCAAACTGGGGGTGAGACACTGCTAACCTGCCTCGGGGCAATGAAATACACAGCTGACAGCAACACACATATTCAGAATTTCCCCTCAAAACAGACGAGGCAGAGTAAATGGCCACAAAGCTTTTATTGGCTACTTTATTTGAGTTAGGAATTTAACTTCGGTTTGGAACCCCACTGTCAAACTTGCAGGCAAGGCTGCTCTCCTAAAATGAAGTTAGGATTGCCAACCTCCGCAACTGCCAACGTAACTGTATTTGCCAGAAAACATTATTTTGGAAACAGGACCGAAATAGACACACACACACAAAAGGCATGTAATAAGCAAAAGTGCAAACATCTGCTGTTTTGCTTCATTATCAAGCGATTTCTCCCCCCCCCCCCCAACAATTCTTAAGCTGAAACCAGTTCCTAAATACGTTAAGGGTGAAACAACTGCAGGTATGCAATTAAACTTAAAAAACCCCAAATCGTATTGGATCAGCATCCCCCCCCCCAAAAAAAAAAGCAGCAGAAAACATGTTTCCAAGAATATGATGGAAAACTGAGGGAGCTGGCATTTCCTTGGCAGAAGAGCAATCCTAAAGTTGAGACAGCCCTACAGATACTAAAGATAGTGTTAAACTGCAGTAAAAAATACTATAAGGAACAAACGATACTGGGAGCTGCTATGAACAGCTGCTATAGAACCTGTTCACTAGGTTAGGTTAGACTAAGACTGCATACAAACCATTCCTTTAAAGCACATTCAAAGCACATTTCCCCCCTCAAAGAATTCTGGGTACCGTAGTAAAAGGGCTGCTGGAAACTGTAACTCTGCAGTGTTAGAAACTGAGATACGAAAGCTAGGAGTTAAATGGTATCTTTAAATCTAGGTTATGGGCGCAACAACGGGATGTCTAGGCACGCTTTTCTAATAACAAGAATGCAAAGCTGAAAATGAATGAACTGCAGCTAAAATATTATGTTCATTATTCACATGGTCTAGTCCTTCCCCTGCTCACCCCCTTCATATTCTTAAGAGGGTCTCTTTCATGGGTAGGCAAACTAAGGCCCGGGGGCTGGATCCGGCCCAATCGCCTTCTAAATCTGGCCCGCAGACGATCCGGGAATCAGTGTGTTTTTACATGGGTAGAATGTGTCCTTGTATTTAAAATGCATCTCTGGGTTATTTGTGGGGCATAGGAATTCGTTCAGTTTTTTCTTCAAAATATTGTCCGGCCCCCCACAAGGCCTGAGGGACAGTGAACCGGCCCCCTGCTGAAAAAGTCTACTGCCCCCGGTCTCTTCTTTAGTCTTCGGAGAGTAGCTGGAAGTGGGGTGGCTGAAAAAGGTCCTCCTTTCCTTCCACTCTGCAGTTTTAGTCTGAAATCTTAGGCGCAGTACTGCGCCCAGAGCTCAGAAACTGCTTGCGCTAATGAAATTCCCTGTCGCAAAATGCGCCTAGAACGATGGGAGTTTCGAACACTTAACGCTGTGAAGGAGGGTAACCTACAGGGCCCAGAATTCTTTTTTTTTTACCATAATTTTTATTGAATTTTCCATGTTTCATTTAATTCAGTACACATATTCACAACTTGTAATATTTGCTCAAAATGAGCTTAGACCTCCTTTATATCTCTTTCTGACATCCCTATAGTCTACAACATATTTTTCGCATTCCCGTAATCATTTCTTTATCCTATAATCACCTGAAAATATCACATTCTTGTTTATAAATCAACATCTTAATTTCACATTGCAAAACATTTCCACGTTAATGCTACAAACGTTTTTAAATGAGTATGATTTTCTTTCAGATAATTAATAAATTTGCTCCAGTCTTTTTGGTATTTTTCTTCGGGCCGATTCCCGATTCTCCCCGTCAGCTTCGCCAACTCCACAAATTCTACCATTTTTATTCTCTGTGAACTTACAGGGCCCAGAATTCTTTGAGGGGAAGAATGTGCTTCCAAGGTGTGATGTGTACACAGCCTAGGTTATGATTGGCTGAGCCTAGGTCCGTCTTTCCCAATTCAATGCCCTTTTCCAGACATTTGGGGCTACTGTTCCGGTCAGTCACAGCCGGCATGGTCAACAGGAGGCAAAATATCTGGAAGGCATCAGGGTGGAGAAGGCTAGCCTAGGTAGACTTGGTCCAAATCAAATGGCACATACGCCTTCAGAATAGCCTGCACTTGTTTTGACTACAATGCCACACATGCATAGCTCCTGCCCAGCGCTTAGCCAGGCATAGGCAAACTCGGTCCTCTAGATCAGTGTTCCCCAACCTTGGGCCTCCAGCTGTTTTTGGACTACAATTCCCATCATCCTTGACCACTGGTCTTGCTAGCGAGGGATGATGGGAGTTGTAGTCCAAAAACAGCTGGAGGCCCAAGGTTGGGGAACACTGCTCTAGATGTTTTGGGGCTACAACTCCCATCATCCCTAGCTAACAGGACCAGTGGTCAGGGATGATGGGAACTGTAGTCCCAAGCATCTGGAGGGCCAGAGTTTGCCTATGCCTGGCTTAGGCACAATGGCGACTCCTTCTAAGTATCTCAAAACACTTAAAACACAACACAACTTAGGCAAACATCCTCATTTCTATCAGCTTGAGAAAGGATATGATGCACAACTCTTTCTATTTGCTAGAGTGAAACAAAAATGAAGATGCTTAGTTTAAGTTTGGGTTCCACATGCAAGTTTGATATGAAGCAAGTATTTTAGCCTGGGTTTTTATGCGAGCCGCACAACCAGTTCTGTGGATCAAGACTTCGATTTGGCTCGTTCTGCACATCTGTTGTTTTGTTCTGTGCTCCTCGGGCTCTGCTTACAAATTAGTAAAACGTGTATGTATTCTCTCCTACATTTCCTAGGGATGATAACCTGGATAAACGAATGTAAATTTTAAAAACTACCAAAATTATCTAACACTG